CAACACTAAGCAAGGACAAATGGCCCATTGAAGACATATTTGCATGATCTCTAAATGAGAAAGTATTTGGCAAAGAGAGAACCAGTATGGTATCATGGTTTGAGTGTTGGACTAGGATTCTAGGGGTCCCTTCCACACAGCTGTATAAAATCCACATTGAAATGGATTATATGACAGTGTGGGCTCAGATAATCCAGTTCAAAGCAGATATTGTGGATTATCAGCCTTGATATTCTGGGTTACATGGCTCTGTGGAAGGGTTGTGTGAACCTCCACTTTGCCATGGAAACTCACTGGATGATCTTGAGCAAGTCACATTCTCTCAGCCTTAGAGGAAGGCTATGACAAACTTCCTCTGAACAAATCAAAGAAAACCCTGAGATAGAGTCTTAGGACTCTTCCACACAGTTATATAACCCAGAATATCAATGCAGATAATAATAATAATAATAATAATAATAATAATAATAATAATATAGCAATATCTGTTTTGAACTGGGTTATCCAAGTCCACATTGCCATATAATCCAGTTCAAAGCAGATAATGTGGGATTTTATACAGCTGTGTGGAAGGCATCTTAAAGTTACCATAAGTTAGGATGAATTGAAGGGACATAACAACAGCAAACTTGACAAAGAGCCTTCAATGAAGATTTTACCTGTTCAGCAGTTTCATACAGTAATAGGTCATCCTTCAAGTACCTTAATCAAAGGTCACTGAAGATTTAAAAAGTCAAGTCTAGAACTGACTCATGCCCAGAAAATAACTGGGAGACAATGAAGCACTTTCAAATATTGTATAAGCATACAAGCCAACCTAAATTAGATATGATGATGTGGCTTGCCTCGGGCCCTTAGTTAAAACACTCTGCTAGTAACCTTTCCTTTGCATATAACCTAATAATTTTGTGCCAGCTTCTTTCCTTGTTAAAATAGCAAAAAAATAAAAATAAAACAATCTACCAAAATTAATAGTCTAGGCTGGCAAAAGAACTCCATTATTCTGGAAAGGTAGATTGAAAAATATAACTTATTTTAATGTATGCTGTATTAGACAAATCAGATTGCATAGATACATCATTCAGTCTATTTTTATATTGCAATTTTTCCATCACTTCTGATATATGGCAGAGAAAATCCATTCGTTAGGAGTAAACATTCTGTCCTCTTAATCCAAAATATTTTTCCTCGCCGGTTCCCATGCTCTGCAGTTTCTGTTTGTACTATTATTGTTTGGAAAGAATCTAAAAGGCAAAAATGTAGGAATTTAAAAATTATTTTAGCCAACCATTAAAATCATGTTATGTGCCCATCTATTTTAAGAAGTTGTGTGTGTGTGGGGGGGGGGGGGGGGGGGGGGGGGTTCCTATGGAGAAAACAAAGCAGGACCAGAGCACTGGGCAGGAATTAGTCCATAGTTGGACAAAGTTCTAGTAGTTGGTAGCAACATCTTTAGTTAAAAGAGCCAGCTAACAATTAACATAAAATATTTATGTTTTGAGCTTAGGGCCCTTCCACACAGCCCTATATCCCAGAATATCAAGGCAGAAAATCCCACAATATCTGCTTTGAACTGAGTTATCTGAGTCTACACATAGATAATGTGGGATTTTCTGCCTTGGTATTCTGGGATAATGAGCTGTGTGGAAGGGCCCTTAGAGAACTATTGCCAGTTAAGATTGACAATATCAATATTTTTAAGGCACCGGATCCCATCTAATTTTGGAAGTTAAATAGGGTCAACTCTAGTACATATTTGGATTGGAGACTGTCAAAAAATAACAGGTGCTGTGAGCAAAATTTCAGATGAAGGAACTGGCAAAGCGACCTTTAAGTGGCCTTGCCTTTGTAAACACTGGGAAATTCATGAAATTGCTATAAGTCAACGGGTAACTTTACCCAACTTTACCCAATCCGCAATATATAACAATTTACTGTGCATTGAGGAACATCCAGGATTAATTTAAGAATTGTATTCAATAGTGGAGAACTGGGACTCAAAAAGATGTCGTTGTAGGCGTCTACTACAGACCCCCAAGCCAGGAGGAAGAACTTGATGAAGTCTTCTGCCAACAGTTGACCAAACAGGCACAGAAAAGAGATGTAGTAGTCATGGGCGATTTCAACTATCCCGATATTTGCTGGAAAACAAACTCGGCCAAGAGTACAAGGTCCAACAAATTCCTCGCTTGCCTTGCAGACAATTTCATAGTCCAGAAGGTAGAAGAGGCAACAAGGGGATTGGCTACTCTTGATCTCATCCTAACAAATGCGGAGGACCTGATCGATGCGGTCGAAGTGGTAGGATCCTTAGGGGCAAGTGACCATGTGCTCCTGCAATTTGAGGTACAAAGGAAGGCCGAAACTAAGACAAGTCAAACCCGCATTTTGGACTTTAGGAGAGCAGATTTCCAAAAAATGAAGGAAACGCTGAGCAGCATTCCGTGGACACAGATACTAAAAGACAAGGGAGTTACGGATGGATGGGAATTTCTCAAGAGTGAAATACTCAAGGCGCAATTGCAAACCGTGCCAACAAAGAGAAAAAATAGGACAAGTGCAAAGAAGCCAGAATGGATGTCCAAAGAACTTCTAACTGTGCTAAGACACAAAAGAGACATGCACAAGAAGTGGAAAAAGGGAGAAATCACCAAAGAAGAATTCAAACAAATAGCCAACACCTGTAGGGAAAAGGTCCGCAAGGCTAAAGCAAAAAACTAGCTCAGACTTGCCAGGGACATTAAAAACAATAAAAAGGGCTTCTATTCTTATGTCAGTAGAAAAAGGAAAAACAAGGAGGCGATAGGACCTCTTCGAGGAGAAGATGGGGCAATGCTGACAGGGGATAGGGAAAAGGCAGAACTACTTAATGGCTTCTTTGCCTCGGTCTTCTCACAAAAAGAGAGTCTTCAACCTCAGCAAGATGGAGTGGATGAGGGATTGGAGGACATCCAACCCCAAATTGGGAAAGAAGTCGTCCAGGAATACCTGGCCGCTCTTAATGAGTTCAAGTCCCCAGGGCCAGATCAACTACACCCCAGAGTATTGAAGGAACTAGCGGAAGTCATTTCGGAACCATTGGCAACCATCTTTGAGAGTTCTTGGAGAACGGGAGAATTTCCAGCAGATTGGAGGAGGGCCAATGTGGTCCCAATCTTCAAGAAGGGAAAAAAGGATGACCCAAACAACTACCGTCCGGTCAGCCTCACGTCGATACCGGGCAAGATTCTGGAAAAGATTGTTAAGGAAGCGGTCTGCAAACACTTAGAAACACATGCAGTCATCGCTAATAGTCAACATGGATTTATCAAAAACAAGTCATGCCAGACTAATCTGATCTCTTTCTTCGATAGAGCTACAAGCTGGGTAGATGTGGGGAATGCCGTGGATGTAGCGTACCTGGATTTCAGTAAGGCCTTCGACAAGGTCCCCCATGACCTTCTGGCAAGGAAACTAGTCCAATGTGGGCTAGGCAAAACTACGGTGAGGTGGATCTGTAATTGGTTAAGTGGACGAACACAGAGAGTGCTCACTAATGCTTCCTCTTCATCTTGGAAAGAAGTGACGAGTGGAGTGCCGCAGGGTTCCGTCCTGGGCCCGGTCCTGTTCAACATCTTTATTAATGACTTAGATGAAGGGCTAGAAGGCATGATCATCAAGTTTGCAGACGACACCAAATTGGGAGGGATAGCCAATAGTCCAGAGGACAGGAGCAGAATTCAAAACGATCTTGATAGATTAGAGAGATGGGCCAAAACTAACAAAATGAAGTTCAACAGTGACAAATGCAAGATACTCCACTTTGGCAGAAAAATGAAATGCAAAGATACAGAATGGGGGACGCCTGGCTCGAGAGCAGTACGTGTGAAAAAGATCTTGGAGTCCTCGTGGACAACAAGTTAAACATGAGCCAACAATGTGATGTGGCAGCAAAAAAAGCCAATGGGATTTTGGCCTGCATCAAGAGGAGCATAGTGTCTAGATCTAGGGAAGTCATGCTCCCCATGCTCTATTCCGCTCTATTGGAATATTGTGTCCAATTCTGTCCACCACAATTCAAGAGAGATATTGACAAGCTGGAATGTGTCCAGACTAAAATGATCAAAGGTCTGGAGAACAAGCCCTATGAGGAGCGGCTTAAGGAGCTGGGCATGTTTAGCCTGAAGAAGAGAAGGCTGATATATGATAGCCATGTATAAATATGTGAGAGGAAGCCACAGGGAGGAGGGAGCAAGCTTGTTTTCTGCTTCCTTGGAGACTAGGACGCGGAACAATGGCTTCAAACTACAAGAGAGGAGATTCCATCTGATCATGAGGAAGAACTTCCTGTGAGAGCCGTTCAGCAGTGGAACTCTCCGCCCTGGAGTGTGGTGGAGGCTCCTTCTTTGGAAGTTTTTAAACAGAGGCTGGATGGCCATCTGTCAGGGGTGATTTGAATGCAATATTCCTGCTTCTTGGAGAGGGTTGGACTGGATTGCCCATGTGGTCTCTTCCAACTCTATGATTCTATGATTCTATGTGTTAAAATCCCTAGTTGGTTCCATATTGAAAACACCATTTGGCCCTTTTAAAAATTTAAGAATTGCAAATACTGACTTGTCTCATTACTCATGTAGAACTTGAGAATATCATAACTGTCTGATCAACTGAATGGAAATACTTGATTGCCATTTTTGACCTTATAAAATGTGAAAGTATCATTTATTTGTCTGATCAGTCTTTAATATGATAATCTACAAATAAACTCCAATTCATGAATCTCCAACAAAGCACCCAATATTCTGCTCATCAATTTTCAAAGTATGTTTCCAAAGTTTTCTCTAAAATAATTGAATAACTGCAAATCAATAACCTTAGTCTTGTTGGAATTTATTGACAACTTGGTCTGACCACAATAATCCCATAGGGGGCATTATTTGAGTAATACATCTTCTCACCATTCAAATATTTCCATATTGGCTTGCACAAATCCTTTTGTTTTCATTCTGCGCTTCTTACAGTTTTGAGATGCCTGGGGATTCCTGCAAGAGTTGTCACTAACTTTTGCTCAGCCCATGACAATGATGCCAATTTGCAGATGGATGTCTTTGTGGATGAAAATGGAAAAGTGGATTCCAAACTCACAAAAGATTCAATCTGGTAAGTTTCCTAGGATGACAGAACTTCTACAGTAGGATTTCCAGTGATGGAAAGTCACATGAAGGTAAATGCTGAAATGCGATCTGTATTTTTATTACATGAAATCCACAAGATGTATAAAAACCAGTCAAATATACACACCAAATCTAGCAACGTATCTGCTCTTGCATATTATTTCTTCTAGCAGAAGATGGTAACATATGGCTCATAGGATCAATATGACCCCCAGGGCAGCTTTTGTAGCTACAGCTGTGTTCTTCTGGCACTACCGCCGCCATGAAAATACTTTCCTTTTACCTTCTCTGGAGTCATCTTTTCTGTATTTTCTTCTCCTGTACTCCTTTTTCCTTCATTTCTGGCTTCCTTCCACATTTCCACTACAGTAACAAATTAGGTGGTGACAATTTGGATAGCAGCCATCAAATTTCATCAGCAGTAAATTGGGTTCCTGTGGAATCTTGGATGAATTCCAGGAGGTCCAGCATGGGGTGCTTCTACGCTGTAGAATTAATACAGTTTGACAACTCTTTAATAGGAGTTGTAGTTTTACAAGGTCTTTAGCTTCCTCTGCCAAACGGTGCTGGTGCTTCACCAAACTACAACTCCCATGACTCAACAGCATTTAGTCATGGCAGCTGAAGTGGTGTCAAATTGCATTAATTAATTAATGTAGACACACCCATAGACAACATCCCACAAAGTTTCTTATATTGTCTTATTGTTTCAGTGATATTGTTAGTTTCCACCATTATATCAATAATGTTCAATATCAAAATTTGAACATCCCCACTTTTATTTATTTATTTATGAGTATGAATTCCATCATGAGAGATTTCATTATGGTGGTCTTATTATGAGTGGGTGAATGAGGATCACCTTTAACCAGACAAAATCCTCAAGGAGAATTAAATTGATATCAAATATTGCATACTACATTACTTATTATTTGTAGATCTCATTCCAAAGGAGACAGGACTAAGAACCAATGCTGAGTATAAAAGGTGTTGCAAGGAAGCCGTTTTCTTGTCCCCTCCTTGTAACTGTGAATGATCGCTTATTTATTTCATGCTTGAAGTAGTTGTTTTTTGAAGTTTTCAGGCCATCGTCTTAGAACAGAAATAGAAATATAAAAATATAGGCAATAAAAGAGATTCAACTATAAAACATAGAAAAGCAGCACAAAAACATATGGCGAGGATGAAACAGTTTAAAACAAGAAAAGTGTAAAAGGCTGGAAAAATAAATGTACCTTTGCCTAATGTCAAAGGGACCTCACAGCAGGTCTTGGGCAACCTTCGCTGAGATATTAATAGCCAGGGTGTCACCACATCCCACTTTGTGTGGGAAATTTATTTTACTCTCTTCTTGGTCTAGTTATTTTATGGTTTAAGGTGCTTTTACACTGTAGAATTAATACAGTTTGAGACCACTTTACCTGCTATGTAGTTTCATAAGTTCTTTAGCCTTTACCAAAGAATGTTGATGGCTCACCATAATATATCTCACAGGATTCCATAGCATTGACCCTTGGCAAGCTGTATTCATTCTACAGTGTAGATGCACCTCGTATCTATGCAAATATATGGATCTCCTTTTTGAGCCAAATATCTGTGCCAAAATCAAGGTGCACAAATACTTTTTTGGTTTCAGCGTTTTGAAAATTGACATGTGTATTAGATTCAATGGCGCTCTACATTCAAGTAAATACAGTAGTTCCTCCTATAACTTTCAGGGTTGGATATCTTTAACTGTAGCATGAGCAGATGATATCTCAACCATTCTATAATGGCAGATAAAATGATACCACAGTGTGGATAGCCATCTCCGTGTCACTATTGATGTTACTGAAAACCTGCCACCATCAATGTTTCTTCCACTGACAAAATTCACCCATGTTGGTATGGAAGATCAGTATACAAAGGGATCTTGTAGCACCTTTGAGAGCAACTGAGAAAAAGAAGTAATGGTAGAAGCTTTCATAGGCTAAGGTTATGTCTACATGGCCAAAACAAATTAGACTCATTGCTCAGCTGCTGTGGGGAGACACACAGCTGGATTTGCATTAGAAATGCTGCATCAGCCATTAAAGTAGGTCAAGAGGACACAAGATTTACTTTCAAGATCCCAGGAAGCTCAGGAGTAATCCTGGAGTGTTGGGCATATGATCAGCAGAATCAGGTTGGATCTTTCCTATCTACTGTCCTCATGTGCAGTTGCACTGCCGGCAACAACTAGCTTTCTGCCAGAAGCTTGCTACCAATATCACCTATGTGACCAAAAACGGGACATGACCAGCAAGTCTCTGGCAGAGTGCTGCTTGTTGCTGATGATTCAGTGTTGGTGACAGCACTTTCAGTCCACGTGGACATGTAGATGGCAAAAGAGCTCCAGAGATGCTCCCAGGCAGCATCAGGGCAGGTCTATAGCACTTTAATTGGGGTTATTTGACAAGACACCACATTTATATATGTCGTTTTTAAATGCTATTTATGTTGTATAGATTGCTTATTATGTTTTTATATTTGTGTCTTTGATTTTTGATTATTTTGTTTTGTATTTTATTGTATTTTTAATATGTTGAAAGCTGTGTTGGGTCCATTTGTGGGAGAAAAGCAGGATATAAATAATGATGATGATGATGATCATGATGATGATGATGAGTGGAGACACATCCTGAGTCTCCTTCCTCTTGCATCTCAGGATGTAAACTGAGGGCAGTTCATCACAGGTTAGTTCATCTAAGTTAGGAAGTGGATTAAAAGAAACTGCTTCTGGTGCAGGGTGCCTATACAAACATGCCAGGCACCAGTTCAAGGCTGGGATATTGGCCACAGTATTGAGGATTGGAACCAAACCCAGGAATGATTTTTTTTCCTTACCCAGTTTGTTGAGATGCACTGATGTGCATCACTATGTCTGTTCAGGATCAGTGCAGGACCAAGGACAGGGCATAGGAAATGAGAATGTGTTTACCTCATCACATGGGGGGAAGCTTTCGCTGGCTGGCTTGCCCCGTTGAGAGCAATGCAAGCATGGGAAGCCTCCTGTATTGCTGCAGCCAGCTTTTTTCGGCAATAACTCCGGTTCCACAGCAGTTTCCAGTGTCCAATGGGAGTTCGCGGGCTCTGTTACAAAGCTGCTGTGCAACCAGAGTTGTTGTCGAAATTTTCCCCAGGTGAAGAGGTCCTAACCTTCCTTATATCTGGGAAACCTCGTGCACAGAATGTGTGCAGTTTGTTTTCCAGAAAAAATACTTTCCCAGCAACTTGATTCCCATATAGCATGTTTCTAAACAGAAGCATTGGGATATGGGTAGTGGTAGAAACTACAGTGATTGTAGTGAGGAAATGTGGTTGGAGGAACTGCACAGGGGCCAAAAGCCTCACTTTGCCTGCCCCTGCTCTGCCATAGCAAACTGTTTTGTTTTTGCTTTCTCTGTATATAAATTGAATGTTTTCAAACCTGCCTCATTTCATAGAGCCCTTCATTCATTAGTGCTTATTCCAAACCTATTCCAAAATTAAATAGAGCTTTGCAGATCTACAATGGTGAAGGGTAAACAGTTGAAATCGTGTTTTCTCTTTGTTTTTCCTTTGGGGTGCTTGATTACTTTTTGAACTTCCCCTTTGATTTCCTCTCTTCATGGCATATTTATTGCTACATGATGCACATAACCTCTTGGGGCATGCATTAATTTAACCTATGGTTTTTTTTCCATTTCTCCTCTGTGTGTCCTTTATCTCCACTCCATTTCTACTATTCAGTAGAAACATTACCTCTAAGCTATTTTATATATAATCTTGCTGTGATTTTAATACAGACTTCTGTTTTGAAGGGCAAATATAATCTATTTAAAACACTAAGCATATCATATTAAGTATATGTTTTTTTCTCCTATTATTCCCAAAATATTTGTTTATTTTAAAATCCACATTACAAAATTGTTTATTCTCCAAATAGAATTTATCCAAAATATTTAGATTTTCCTTTCAAACAGCGCAGTTTCAAGCATATTCTTACATGGAATTTTAATTTAGGATTACCTCTCGTTAGAGAAATTGTTAAGAATATGAAAAAGTCTCTTTTTGTAGTGATTTTGACCAAAGACAGATCCTCTTAGCATAGAGAGACAACATGTCACAGATTTGCCAGTCCCCTGGTGAGATCTCACTTCAAGCATAAGGCTGGAACACTAAGTGGGGTTTTCCCCCTCTTGTGTGTTTTTTGCATTTTGCATGAAATGTCACTGCACAAAACTAATCCATTTTTTCTCTATGAAGCTGAACACATCTACACACCACAAGAACAATTATAAGCTTGACTGATCACAAACAAGACAATGTGGCTACCTTTAGTAGTCCTAGGACCTCATCCAATGAGGGTGGAAAAAATGAGGGGAATCGCTTTCCAAGTGTGGCATTCAGTGGTCTTCTGCTTCCGAAGGAAACAGAGAATTTAACTATAGTTCTCATCCCACCTTAAAATCCAACAGTTCCATCTCGTCATTAAAAACCCGGTTGTTTCTATGTGCAGGGAGAGCAGTGGAGTTGATTTCTCCCTGACTTCACAAGCATCCCGTTTTTATACACTATAAAGACGAAATCTGCTATAAGCAGTCTTGCATCATTTGATGGGCTTCCTGGGACTCTGTCTTTAAAGGGAATAGAAACTATAAGAAGACAACCCACACCCACTGCTTTCTTTCCCTTGTGGGGCGAGACCTCTAATCCGTGCAGTGAATCAGCATTGTTGCATTTTTTTTTCAGTTTAGCAAATTTTACAGAAATGTCCCCTCCCTCATAAAGCCACTTAAAAGAGTGCAGTAGTCCCCTTGAGATTGCCAACCAACCAATTAAGAAGGAAACATGACTTTTCCATTATACATGAAAGAGTATTTCGTGTGAGTGTGTGTGCGCACTCATGTTCGTTGTCCCATTTACTGCATGAGATCATCACCCAAAAAAATCCTATTTACAAAGCTCACAAGATGCTGAAATCCC